AATTTTAAATATTAATATTAAATATCATTAAATATTAGCTGATTTAAATCTCTCATTCCTGAAGCAATATTATAAACACTGAAAACTGTATATAATCTATATACTCTATGAACATGTTATCACACTACAACTTCTGATTAAAAACATCATACAACTGTTCTGTTTAAACACACACAAAAAATCACGTCCCAGTAAAATCCTATTAAGTTAGTATGCAGCTAAAAGAATCCCACAGTACTTGGCAATCCTGCAGTATATGCTAAATAGAAAGAATTTCTACAATAAACTAATAATATTTTTTCCCCAAAATGGTGTCAGCTTAGCAGACCAGCTAACAACTTCTCAACTGCTCATTCATTTTTATGCCTGTTAGAAGAGAATGTGCAAATGTTCTAATATGGGTAAGTATAAGCAATAAACTAATAATACTACCATGGGCTAGGAGTAGCCTGGCATAATAATGCAAGCATCTAAAAGGAGTTCTAGTTCTGTAAGTTTTAATCTACCTTTTTTTACCTGACAAATTCAAACAACATATTTTTCTCCCCACACAATTTATGAAGTATTTTCTTGTTACTGATCTTATTATGTTACGTTCCTGACTGTTACTGGTCATTGTTTTAGGATCTATTATGTTTTAAACTTAATTACTGGAAATGGGAATTGTGAGACTGAGTCTGTGGATTGAAGCAGCACAGAAGCCCAAGTAAATAAATAAATTCCCATGGATAACAATAATGTGTGAAACAAAGTCAGACTGTTGAAATTCCCCTGATTGTTGAGGCACTTTTTCAAACAGCTGCAACCAGAGGAATTGCTGCCAGCCATAAATGCAATTGCCTAGTTTGTAAGTTGTTATTCATATCTACAACTGGAACAACGAGGAATCTCTCATACACCCAGTCATAGGACCTTTAATGTGCAATGCATAAATTCTAGGCAAATACTAGGCAGGCTGCTACTGACTGCATCCAAGGGCCCCAAAGCAGAACAGTCTATCTTTTCTGTACCAAAAGATGTTCAGCATGCATCTATAAGGAAACCCCCTGAATGAAGACTTCTTCATAAAAAACAACATGATTACCTCCCATGAAAAGAAAAGCAATAGCCTAACCGCTGGCACAGAAAAGCAGCAGCTAGTGTTAAAGACCTGATTTAAGACTAGTCAGTCCAGAAATAAATGCACATACAAACACATTCCCAAGTAAAGTCATGCTTCCAGAGTCTCTAATTAATTCTATCTTTTCATGCAACTGAGTGCCAATGTAAAACTTCCCTGAAGGCTTCTCTAGCAATTATGCCACTGAGTTGCTGAAATATAGTGGTGAGGAGCGTCAATAAGGAAGCCCTGAATTCAAATTTCACTTCAACCCTAATTGAAATCCACATTCCTGTGCAGCCAGCTCAACTGTGCAATAAAGGTCACTTAACTTTTTTATATGTCACAATGGCCACCACGTATTTTATAGTCTTTTCCTATC